CTTTACATATGTTTATCCTTCGCATTAGCGTTCAACACATGTGTCACCGCCTTTCTTTAGCTTTTTTGTTGTTGTTGTTTGGACCATTGTTGGCCTCTTCCTATTTTTATTTTTACTGCTTACAAGCCGGGTTATTTAACTAGCATTGTATATTTTAATATAATACAAGATGGCATAATAAGAAACAGGCATAGGATCTGAAAATATGAAGATTTTGATATATATATATATATTGGGATAAAGATCCCACATCGAATATATGTAAGGGACTTGGGCCAATCCACTAATAATTGTCAATTGGTTTTAAGTTGGAAGCCCAAAAAACTTATCATGGTATCAGAGCCGGTCCACACCCTGACCCATTAATCCGGCCCGGAAAGTGGCCCGATCAACCCATTAGCTGATGGCCCAGAGAAGGCTCAGTTCTATCGAGATTGCTAGAAGAAAAAAGCAATGTCTCGGTAGGGGTATGATGGATTCTGCGAGATTAATGGTTAGACCCACCATTATCTCGTGGGACGGTGTTGGGATAAAGATCCCACATCGAATATATCTCGATAATCCCGGATCTTGCATATTCTATTCATATTCTCTCACAATTTATGAATAAACCACGGGAAGACCACTGGCTTGCTGCACTCAAAGTGGTTAGATATCTGAAGGGGACGATAGGCCAAGGCATTCTACTACGTGCAGGTTCACCGAGACATATGACTGGATGGTGTGACTCAGATTGGGGAGGATGTCCCCTGACTCGACGCTCGCTTACAGGTTGGATAGTCCAGTTTGGTGACTCACCAATTTCCTGGAAAACACAGAAACAAGATACAGTTTCTAGATCTTCCGCAGAAGCAGAATACAGAGCAATGGCAGACTTGACAGCAGAACTTCGAGGACTGAGAAATCTATTGTCTGAGTTTGGCATGAGTCATGAGAAGCCAATGACGATAATGTGTGATAGTAAACCAGCCATTCACATTAGTAACGATGCAGTTTTTCATGAGAGAACTAAACATGTAGAATCAGATTGCCATTTCGTTCGTGATGATATTGTTCGAGGGTATGTGAAACCATGTCATGTAGCTTCGAAAGATCAACTGGCTGATATACTAACGAAGGCATTGGGCAAGAAGGAGTTTGATGTTTTTCTTCTCAAGTTAGGCATTCAAAATTTGTATGCTCCAACTTGAGGGGGGATATTGAGATATGTTAAGATCCTATATATATTAAGATTGAGTCATATCTTTATTATGTCAACTTTCCTATAATGGTTATACGCACCATTATCTCGAGGGAGGGTGTTGGGATTAAAGATCCCACATCGGAAATATGAATATGAATGGGACATGAGTAATATATAAGGGACTTGGGCCAATCCACTAATAATTGCCAATTGGTTTTAAGTTGGAAGCCCAAGAAACTTATCATGGTATCAGAGCCGGCCCACACCCTGACCCATTAATCCGGCCCGGAAAGTGGTCCGATCAACCCATTAGCTGATGGCCCAGAGAAGGCTCAGTTCTATCGAGATTGCTAGAAGAAAAAAGCATTGTCTCGGTAGGGGTATGATGGATTCTGCGAGATTAATGGTTAGACCCACCATTATCTCGAGGGAGAGTGTTGGGATAAAGATCTCACATCGAATATATGTAAGGGACTTGAGTAATATATAAGAGACTTGAACCAATCCACTAATTGCCAATTGGTTTTAAGTTGGAAGCCCAAGAAACTTATCAATATATATAGCAATAACATTTAATTATATGCTAGCTCTTGTTTATATTGGTAGATCAAACAATTTAATTTATCGCAAGTATTTTTACAAATAATGAATAAAATATATAATAATATCAATATCTCAATCTTGAAAACTCATTTTAGTATTTTCTCAAGAGTATCTCCCATCTTAAAAATCCTATTGAATATTTTATCATATAAGAGACGATTAAAATGGATTCTAAGGTCTAAAATATATAGACATATTAATTTAGTATCCTCACATATTATTTATTTTCTATTTATTATTTTCGTAATTTTGATTGAGTTGAAGATCTTCCAGTTTAAAATTCAATTAGGAAAAAATAACAAAGAAAATCCTAGTGGTCACAATGAAATACAATTACGAAAGCGTGAGATGACATCTGAAACGTAAAAATATGGTTTATTCCCACACCGAACCCGCCATCCATTTCCACATCCTCAGTTTGTTACCTTGTGTGGCAATGTCATTATTCATGGCCGACTTTTACGGCTTGCCACTTGTCGACTGGACTCTTACTCAGAGTATTACAGTTCTATTGGCGGAAATATTTATAGTGATTTTGCTATTTCTTGTAATATTATTAAATTTTGTCAAATTTTTACATTTTAATAACTTCAGGAAATGGTTTCCCTGTATATAATAGGGTTTAGATCATCTACAAAAAATTTAAACAATCTTGGTTTAATTTTTTGAACTACATGATTTTATAATTATCTTACAAGTTTAAAATGTTTCCATTTTCAACTAGTGTCATTATATACTATGATAGACTATTCATTATGAGAGCTAACAATCATAATTAAATATTTTGTAAAATAAAAGTTATAGATTAGAAACACGGTGAAAAATGTATATGAACAGATTTTTAAAATAGTTTATTCGAACTGGATTTACTATTGATAATGAATATTGTGAATACAGAAACAAAGCTTCAGATGATGCAGCTACAACAAAATATTCTAAATACCAAATGAATACATCAGAAATCATATATACACAATAATAGATTTGACTTAATTTTTTTATAGTTCTCATCTCGTTTCAACTACTATACGTATTTAGGATTAATGGTGGAGGTAGGAAATTTTTTCACTTGGGTCAATGCTAATATAGCTATCTAGCAATGTTAAAAACAAGGGTGTCAATTAGGGGTGGGCACAATTACTTGTTACTCGGCTTGTACTCGCTACTTGATTCATACTTGGCTCTTAAAGTTGAGTACTCGTTTTGTTCAAGTCGAGTATCAAGTCGTTTATTTCAATTACTTGCAAGTACAAGACAAGTACCAAATACTAAAATAAAAGTAACTACTTGGCGTTGTTGGCTTGTTACTCGTGGTTTATTACTTGATTTATTATCTTTTTTTTTTTACTTTTAGACATAAAAATCTCTAGATTAGAATCAAATTACTTGTTTCTAAAATAAATGAATTAAAAATGATATATAATAGAAATATTTTAGAGTTTTCTTTTAATTTTATATTTATCATATATCGATTTAAAACATATGAAAAGTAAATAAATATTCTTTAAAATTGTTTAAATCATAATTATAACTAACTAAATATTTTTAAAATTCATATACAAGGTTTAAGTAGCAAAAATTAATAAATTATTATTAAATAAAANTCATATATCGATTTAAAACATATGAAAAGTAAATAAATATTCTTTAAAATTGTTTAAATCATAATTATAACTAACTAAATATTTTTAAAATTCATATACAAGGTTTAAGTAGCAAAAATTAATAAATTATTATTAAATAAAATTCATATACAAGGTTTAAGTAGCAAAAGCTAATAAATTATTATTAAATAAATTAGTTCAGAAGCAACAAGTAGTAAAATAGAGCAAATACTTGCAAGTACATCATTTTTTAGCAAGTACTTGAAAGTGCAAGTACTCGTTTTTAATAAACCAAGTACAAGTCCAAAATTTTATTACTCGAACAAGCCAAGCCAAGTACCAAGTAGGCCAAAAATGGCAAGTACTTGGCTTGTGCCCACCCCTAGTGTCAATATTACATGAATTAACCATTTTCATTTTTATATATTTATAGAGCAAGGGTAAAAATATCTTTTACCTCCTAAATGAAATTTCATATTTAAATTCTTTTAAAAATGTTTATTTAGAGAAGGTAAACATGAATAATATTATCACATTAAAAGTAAAAGTTAAATTTCCCTTATAAACAACAACAAAAATAAAAATCATGGGGTCAAATGACCCCCTCCCTCTCCTCAAGTAGCTTCAGTGCTTCGAGCATCTCAGACTGTTGAGTAATTACTTCATCGTCAAATGAATAAAATTTAGTTGTTATCTATTTGACCTAGAGTTCGTTACTTCAGAGTGCGAGGTAACCATTGAAAGTTGAGTTTCGTCGATGAACCATATAAATGTTGTAAATTTAATATGTTTTAAATTTTCTAGATCGGATTTTTATATATGATAAATTTATTTCAACACTTATCAACTTTTTTTTCGATTATTTTCTGTCCCTTTATTTCAAATAAATATATTTGTGATTGATAAGTTTCTTACAAATATTTAAACGTTCAGTGGCGTTTCATGGTATCATGCAAGTAGGTACATCAATAAAGGAAAACAACAAGCGAATCAATAGTAAACTTTCTAAAATGACATTCGTGTTATTTAAATTTAGAAGGACAAAAATCTATCGCTATCGTTCTTGTCTTGTTGTTGATCGCAAATTCCACGTCATGGCCGCTCGTCTCGAGCCACACTTCGAGCTTATATGAACACATGCTCCAACGCATGGTTATGAAAGTCATTATCTAATTCGAAATACCTGATCTACCCTCATGTACTATGGTTAGTTTGGTAATTAGACAGATTCGACATGATTAGTGTGATTTTGTATATGTGTCGAAATGTCGCCATTCTTTTATCTCCTTTTAGTGCAAATTAAACCACGCTTAAACCGGCTGAATTAAGGGATTATGTATTATTATTAATTAGTTACAAACGTAGACTAACTTTTATTTTAAACAGAAAATAGATATACAAATTTGATTATCATATAAAATTATAAAAATATTAATTATTATGATATTAATAAAATATATTTAAAATAGAAGAACAAAATAAATTATTTTATATCAATAATTAATAAAATATCATATAATCCTAATATAAAATTATTATTTTTCATAAAAAAATACTCTATATATACATATGTATACAATGGTGTACGTACAAAAGATTCCAGTGGATAAAAACCATTCATACTTGGCTTTTTATGCATCCATTTCAAAATACAAGAAAGCTTAACGCCGACTCTCTGAAGCATCCATCTCTCTTGTCTTTTTATTTGTTCAAAAATCTATGGAGAGCACAGATTCTTCCGGTGGTCCGCCGCCGCAGCCAAACCTTCCTCCTGGTTTTCGATTCCACCCAACCGATGAAGAACTCGTGATCCACTACCTCAAACGCAAAGCAGATTCTTCTCCTTTACCCGTCGCCATCATCGCTGACGTCGATCTCTACAAACACGATCCGTGGGAACTCCCTGGTAACCTAAACCTAAACCAAACTGGTCGGATCTGTATTGTTTTGGTCTTTCTGACCATTTTTTTTCTTGATTGTTGTCTGAATTATTACAGAGAAGGCTTTGTTCGGAGAACAGGAATGGTATTTTTTCAGTCCACGAGATCGGAAATATCCAAACGGAGCTAGACCGAACAGAGCTGCTACTTCCGGTTATTGGAAAGCGACCGGTACAGATAAACCGGTGATTTCAACCGGTGATGGTAATAAAAAAGTTGGAGTTAAGAAAGCTCTTGTCTTCTACACTGGGAAGCCACCAAAGGGAGTTAAATCAGATTGGATCATGCATGAGTATCGCTTAGCTGATAATAAACCTAGTCACATATGTGACTTCGGTCACAAGAAAAACTCTCTCCGGGTACATAAATAATAATATTATATTATTATATGAATTTTTAATTAATATATTTTTCTAGGGATTGATGTTGTTTTTGATTGGCTTGAAACTCTGTAGCTTGATGATTGGGTGTTGTGTCGGATCTACAAGAAAAACAATAGTACATCATCCCGACATCATCATCATCATCATCGTCTGGATAACGATCATCATCATTTTCATCATGACATGATGATCGATGATGATCTTTACCGTCTTCCTCTGTCGGTTCCTGGTCAAAATGTCTCAAGAATGAATCTTTTCCCGGCGGTTTTCTCCGATAACAATGATCCGGCGGCTATATACGACGGAGGAGGCGGCGGAGTCACTTACTCGATGAATCAAGGTTTTGCTTCATCGTCTGGTGTGAAGCCGGAGCTGTTACTTTCATCGACGGCGAATCCAAATATTACGATGCCGTTTTGGGGAGAGGGAAATCAAGATCCGGGTAGGAGGTTTAACGGCGGCGTTGGGGATTGTTCAAACATCGTCTCTTCGGTGGCGGCGCCGTCATTAATGCAGCAGCAAGGTGGGGTTTTGGGGGATGGTTTAGACAGGACCTCGTACCAATTAACCGGTTTAAATTGGTTATCTTAATTTTATTGCCGGTCGGTTCGGTTTACATATTTTGAAGATTTGGGTATACAGTTTGGGTAGGTTGGGGAATTGGTTACGGTTGATTGTTATTGTATAGGGTTTAGAACGAAGGAGATTAAAGAGATTAGGAGGTGAGGCGACATATAGAACATACAAGTTAATTTTATTTTCTTCTTATGATTATTGTTTGTTATTCACTAAACGTATCGTTGATTATACGTAGATATTTCATGTTTGTATATTTGTATAATTGATGCATGTTAAAATAAATTAACGGTTGTAGATATTAGTGTGTATTTAATTCAGATATTTATGCAATTGTATGTTTTAACGGGTGCAAGTTATTCAAAAAGCATGCTTTAATATATATTAAAATGATTATAAAAACACTTTAAGATGTGATAGAAACATAGGTTTATCATTTAAAATGCTTACAGTGTCGAAGTGATGGAAGGATAATGTCATGTTGAAGGAGTTTGATCCATGACCTAAGAGCATCTCCAATGTATTACTCCATTTTCTACTCTAAAAAGGAGTAACTCCAAAATGCAGTTGAGTTTTACTCCAATGTATTACTTCATTTTCTACTCCAAAAGAATATTTTTAATATTATATTTATTTCAAATTAAGAATATCACCTTTCATTTATACTATTTGCAAAACAGTCCATTTTAAATTTATAGCATTTCTATTAAATAGAATATTAACCACAATTAAATTTTTATTATATATAAAACTACTCAACAAGGTTTTAAAAGAATACATTTAATACATTAAAAATTACATTATATAGCTTAAACACAATAATACATCAATTCTAAATTATTCATGAGAATTATAATAATTTTCCCACAAATGATCAACTAATGCATTTCGAAGTAAAAAAATGAGCTTCTTTATCTTTGATTTCTCTGAAATGGGAAAGAAACTTTTGGAACCTCACATTATTATTTTATTCAATTTCAATTTTCCTTGACATGACTTCTCTTTCAACTTCAATTGGCACCTCGAGATCACAATCATCTTCTATTATCATGTTATGTAAGAATTTAATAATATTTTATCAGATTATTTTAATAATTTTAATGGATCCGAAAATGATTTATCGGATTATTAAGCAATTATATTTGTTGTAAGTTTTATTTTATGTTATTTCTTTTGTATGGTGCTTATCTTTCATTTTCTATATGTATGATCTTTAATGTTTTATATTATATATATTATGTTGTATAAAAGAGTTCATCAGATGGTTATTTATATAATTTAAAAATATTAACAGTAAATTTTATAATATATATAGTAAAATAATATTAATATACTTATTTATAATAATATTTTTATTAAAGACGAGGCTATTTATATAATTAAGAAATATTAACAGTAAATTTTCTAATGTATAGTAAAATAATATTAATATACTTATCTATAATAATATTTTATTAAAAATGAGGCTATTTCTATAATTAAGAAATATAACAGTAAATTTTATAATATATATAGTACTTATTTATAATAATATTTTATTAAAAATGAAACATATATAAATGTGGAGGACTATTTGATAAATAAAAAAGTTCAATTCCATTTTGGAGTAATGAGTTGGTTTACTCCATATTTGGAGTAATCATGTTTGTTACTCTATTTTGGAGTAAGTTTTGAAGTAGGGTTGGAGATGATTTTACTGCAAAATGGAGTTTGAAGTGGGTTTTGGAGTGGGGTTGGAGATGCTCTAAACCAATAAGACATCCTTTTTGAATATTTATAAGGCAAATCTTCTTCATAGTTTGATCCATGAGCTTATCTACTACCACTTGATAATTAATCACATGTTAAGACATGAATGTACAGCGTTTCAAATATAATACCAAGTCGCCATACAAATCTATCTCGGTTTGGTAAAATCGATTATATATGTATATACTGTATATAGAACAAGTATAACCAATATATTTAGATGTACTTATATTGATTGCGATAGTATTCAAACCATTGATCTTTTGGGATATTGCAGAAGTTTGTTCTTTTAGGTAGAATGCATATAAATTATAACTCTTAAAATCTGAATATTATAAATTTATTCACAATATTCAATTATAAAACCATATGACTGGCACATCAACATAATACAAAAGAAGTTTGATTTTATTAAAATATATATATTATTATACGAGATAAGAATAAGATTAATCGATCATTCATAATTAACTATAAAGATACTGGAAACCAATAGACTTTCGAAACATCTGAAACTTGCTGGATATTGTGATAAGCATCAAACTGAGCTTGTAGATAAGAAATTCAATTATTAATAGGACAAATGTGTATGGAACATTATGATGTGCGTGTGAATGCATAATAGTGTTGACCATCGACGCAATTAGTACTAATTAAGAACTAACTAGGTGACCCACCCGCACCTTGTGCGGATATAAAATATAGTATAATGTTGAGACAGAAATATCTATTGAGTTCAAATATGGGATTTAATAGAACAAGTGAGAGTTTCAATGCTGAGACAAGATTTGCGCAAATCTCTAGGATGCAGTAGAGGTGGGCAAATCGTAACATTTTCGGTTTGGTTTGTTTAGTTCGGTTTTAATATTTTTTTTTTCAACTGAAATAAACCTTATTTAGTCTGGTTCGGTGTGGTTTATGTCCAGTTCAATTTATATTCAGTTCGGTTTGTTTTTGGATCGGTTTAATTAGGCTCTTTGTCGCTTAATTTTTTAAAAGAAAAATTATGTTTTAAAATATATACACAAANTTTTTTTTTTCAACTGAAATAAACCTTATTTAGTCTGGTTCGGTGTGGTTTATGTCCAGTTCAATTTATATTCAGTTCGGTTTGTTTTTGGATCGGTTTAATTAGGCTCTTTGTCGCTTAATTTTTTAAAAGAAAAATTATGTTTTAAAATATATACACAAAAAATATGTGAACTAAATTCAATATTAAACTGAAAAAATACTAAAAAAGTCACAAAAAGTATATAAGAATAAAACAAATGAAAGTTAACAAAAGTAAAAAAAAAATTAACATCATTAGTATGTTTTTAATAAAAGTTAACTATTAAAAAAACAAATGTAAGTAAGATATACAGGAGACAGTGACATATTAAAAATGTGATAAAAATCTCATAGATATCACAATCCCATAGAAAATGTGATGAAAGTTTAAATATAATTCATAAGTAATATAAAATAAAAGAACATTTATGAATAAAAAAATCCCATAGAAACCTGCAAAAAACTGTCAATTTTTTTAGCAATTGTACAATATAAAATAATTTAATATATTTTTAAATTTATCGAGACGAAAATAATATTGAATTTGCATATCGCTATTGAAACAAACTGAAAAATGGTTTGTAATCAACTACAAACGATCTTTCATCTGTGTTATTTATCTGTTAATATAAAAACAAACAAATGTATATATATAGTAAATCACATTTTTAAGATCCATATTTATATATATATATATATATAAATATAATTAAGATAATAGTTTTGGATTTTCTAAATCTCAAATCACCATTATATTTGTGGTTTTCTAAATGGATAATAGTTTTAGGCTTTTCTAACTCAAAACACCATTATCATATAAATTTGTCCAAGGTAATTGATAGCAAAATAAGGTAATCATCAGATTTCCGAATTAACTAATTAGGAAATAAAGAACATACAAATTAATGCAATATCAGATGTATATAGTTACTAATAAATGACATCATAAAAGAACAAGAAATTTACTTAATAGACATATATTTTCACAAAAAATTAACTTTTAAATTTGTCAATTAAATGTATATTTAAAAAAATACTTCCTAAAAAGATTATTTTTTTAGAATTATATATAATAAAAAATTCAGCATATATCAAATTTAAAGAATAATTATGAATTAATAATCATATTTTATCATTAAGTCTTATGGTTCCTGAAATATTTGTTATAAAAATTCTTGTAAAGACATTTCTTGAGATATATAAAGTCTTATGGTTCTTGTAATATTTGTTTTCTTTTAATAAACATGAAGCAATTAAAGAAAGCTATTAAAAAATTGACTGTCATAAATTTGCAATAATTAACATACCATTTAAGACAAGTAACTGATGGCAAAATAAGGTAATCATCTTATCAACTTGCGCAAGTAATTGATAATAAAATAAGACAAGTTATTAATAAACAAATCAACTAATTAAAAGCTTTTACCAACAAGGTATATCTTTCCTAATACCATAATATGGTTATAAAATTAAAGAATAATAAATAGTTTTGATTTTGATATATTTTAAATCTATAGAAATATATAA